TATATGTTGATCCTTTTTAGCATTTTAATTACATGGGGATTTAGATCAGGTATGGGGGCGTGTACCTGTTAGGGGGAGTGGGGGGGGTCATTAAGATGGAGTTTATGTTACAGTATAGGTACACAGTTATATGGTTCTAGTATAGATGCTGTGTGATTGCAGTGTTTGTATAGGGATTGCAGTGTTTCGTATAGGGATTGCAGTGTTCGTATAGGGATTGCAGTGTTCGTATAGGGATTGCAGTGCTTCGTATAGGGATTGCAGTGTTCGTATAGGGATTGCAGTGTTCGTATAGGGATTGCAGGGATTGCAGTTCGTATAGGGATTGCAGTGTTCGTATAGGGATTGCAGTGTTCGTATAGGGATTGCAGTGTTCGTATAGGGATTGCAGTGTTCGTATAGGGATTGCAGTGCTCGTTCATATAGGGATTGCAGTGCTCGTATAGGGATTGCAGTGTTCGTATAGGGATTGCAGTGCTTTTCGTATAGGGATTGCAGTGTTCGTATAGGGATTGCAGTGTTCGTATAGGGATTGCAGTGTTTGTTCGTATAGGATTGCAGTGTTCGTATAGGGATTGCAGTGTTCGTATAGGGATTGCAGTGCTTCGTATAGGGATTGCAGTGTTCGTATAGGGATTGCAGTGTTCGTATAGGGATTGCAGTGTTCGTATAGGGATTGCAGTGTCGTATAGGGATTGCAGTGTTCGTATAGGGATTGCAGTGTATCGTATAGGGATTGCAGTGTTCGTATAGGGATTGCAGTGCTCGTATAGGGATTGCAGTGTTCGTATAGGGATTGCAGTGTTCGTATAGGGATTGCAGTGTTCGTATAGGGATTGCAGTGTTGCAGTGTTCGTATAGGGATTGCAGTGTTTCATAGGGATTGCAGTGCTCGTATAGGGATCACAGTGCCCTTATAGGGAATGGGAATAAAGATATACATGCCCCATTTTTTCCATATAGTAAGATGGCGGATTCGATTTCTGCCCTTGATGTGGGACAGAATATAAGGAACCACCTCTCAGACATCTTGATCCCTTGTGAAAAAGTCCAGGAAGTGACGAAACATGCGTCGGGACACGTGACGTCTCTAACCGAACTCACGCAAAACCGAAGTGTGTGGTGGTGGCCATTTTGGAAGTGGGAACATGCGGTTCTCTCTATACATAGGACTACACCTGAGCTGTTCTGAATGCTGGAAGCTGATATTCTTCAATTGTAATGTAAGATATTCAATAAATATTGACTTCTGTTACTATATAGCGCTGATTGTCTCCTATCTCACCTGATGAGGAATATGGAAGAGTGCCAACAGGAACATTAGGAAGCCTGGAGAGTGCGACTATCCCCTGAAAGCCTGGGATTTATTTCCAGAGGGGAATGATCCATTGTTGCACCAGTTGGAGGAGAGCACTTTATTGTTCACTATTATTGAGTTTGTAGAGCTCACTATTAGAGATTTGGGTTATTCTCCATTCTCACTATTTGGAGGTGATCACGTTTCATCGTTTGGACTTGGAATGGTCACTCTTCTGATTCTTGTCACGAGTGTATTTACATATTCAGAGATTGATATATTGGTAGAGGAATTGTTTTTTCACGTGTGAGCTCACGGTATGCAGTTGGCATGATACACGGTTTCTTTCACTATTTTACATGTATGTTCAGTTTAAAAGGTAATACACTATCAGAAGTTTATTTTTTTGAGGTTCATGAAGAATTTTGGAATTTCCATACTGGATGATTAAAGATGATACGAGTTTGCTTTGGAATTTGGAAAGACATCTTTACAGAGACATTTTGGACATTTATTTTTTGGGACATTTAGTTTGATATATAATTTTTTGGGGATTTTTATTTTATTTTACAATTTATTTTTTTATTTTATTGTATATTGGGATAGATTCATCTATGTTTAAAGAAGAGTTTAGTTACATGTTCATTTATGTACCGTATTGCATGCATGACCGCGCAATTGTCAGTAAAACTAGTGCAGTGCTGTATAGTAAAAAAATGGTGTAAATTCCATTATCTCTCCCATAGTTTGTAGACGCTATAACTATCACACAAAGCAATCAATATACACTTATTGGGATTTTTTTTACCAAAAACATGGAGCAGAATACATTTTGGCCTAAATTTATAACTAACTTTGAGTTTACTATATATTTTTTATAGCCAACAGTAAAAAATATTGTTTTTTTTTTCAAAATTTTTTGGTCTTTTTTTGTTTATAGCGCAAAAAATAAAAACACACAGGTCATCAAATACCTCCGAAAGAAAGCTCTATTTGTGTGAAAAAAAAAGGACATAAATTTTGTTTGGGTGCAGCATTGCATGACCGCGCAATTATCCGTTGAATTAGTAGCAGCGCCAAAAAGAGGTCTGGTCAAGAAGGGGGTAAATCCTCAGGATGGCGAGGGGGGGTCCTAGTGCCTGCCAGTGCCGTCATTGGTGACAGGGGGCTCCTGGGTCATATTGCCTGCCGGTGCCGTCATTGGTGGAAGGGCTAAACTCTCCTAGTATCTTCCCATTATGAAGTTGCGCTAACAGCTCTATAATTCATTGGGAAAGATTTTAGTCCCCTTTGGTGACAGGCGCGCCTGGGTCATATTGCCTGCCCCCACATTGGCAGGCACGCCTCCAGTGCCTGCTGGTGCCATCATTGGTGATGGCGCACCCGTAGTGCCTGCCGGTGCCGTCATTGGTGAAGGCGCACCCGGGTCCCCTGCCGGTGCCGTCATGAGAAGGCGCACAATGGCTGTGAGTCATGACAGGCGCGCCTGGGTCCTAGTGCCTGCCGGTGCCATCATTGGTGACAGGGGTGGCACCTGGGTCCTACTGCCCACCTGCCTGTATGTCTTGTCAGATTCATGCGTCATGGCGATCTTCTTTCCTGGACAGAAACAATGGCCGTGAAATGACAGAGCTGAATCCTTTAAGGCCCCGTGGGTGTCTGCCATCAGGGGCTTTATTCAGTCAAAATATTTCTGGATCATATCAACTGTGAGCCAATGTGGATCATCTGGGGGGGTGTCAGTACCACCCCCCATTATGGACAAGAGCCCCCCCATGCTCCTTTGTATACACAGAGCTGAAGAAGGGATTTCATACATTGTCCTTCTCTTTGTCCCCCCCCCCTCTAGATGGTTCTGTAAAGGGCCTACATGCTGGGACCGGACCTTTCTACTATTCATATATTGGAGGAATGTTTTGGGGTCGTCCTGATATCTTTCTGTCGTTTGTTTTCAGTTTTTGTGCCTTTATTTCCTTTTTGCATCTTCTGTTCTATTCTTTGTAATGTGTAAACGATGATCGCGTTCCTTCATTGTTATATTTAATAAAAGCTCTTTTCTTATTATCTATCGCTTTTGTAACTTTGGCCGTAAGCCACATAGGTTGGATTTGTAGCCTTTTATATACTTGTTGCCCATGGGAATATATTTTGCAGTGTGGTCACATACAGTCTTTTTGAAGAACTCCCATTTCTGTGTTGTGTTCATCGATGCCAATATTCCCTCCCAGTCTAAGTCTTGGAGAGCAGCTCTCAGCCTTGGAAAATTAGCTCTCTTAAAATTGAGCATTTTTATTTTTCCCTGTGCTTACTGTTTACAGCTAACAATAAATGAAATCATGTTATGGTCACTGCTACCCAGATGTTCTTTTATATGGACATTCAATAAGCTCTGCATGGTTGGAGATGACCAGGTCCAGCAGAGCATCATTCCTAGTTGGGGCCTCTATGAACTGGACCATAAAATTGTCCTGTAGTAGGTTTATACATTTTTGGCCTTTAACTGTTCCTGCAGTACCATTACTCCAGTCAATTTCCGGGTAGTTACAATCCCCCATTATTATCACTGTCCCAGCCCTTTCCATCTGTGGGAGGAGCTGAGTCTCCACCTCCTCATTAACACTGGGAGGCCTATAACAAACTCCAATGATGACCTTTGTAGTACCGCCCCCCCCATGTGCAGTTCCACCCATAATACTTCAGCCTCATCACACTCTCCATCAACTAGGTCCTCTTTCACACTCGCTCTGAGATCACTTCTCACATAGAGACAGACACCACCCCCTTTCCTATTTCCCCCGTCTCTCCGAAAGAGAACCTAGCCAGGAATATGAATGGCCCAGTCATGTGAGGAATGAAGCCAAGATTCAGCAATACCAATTCAATCCTAGTTCTCTTCATGCACCAAACCTTCCAACTCACCTATTGTGCTGGGCACACTTCTGGCATTGGGGAACAAACACTTTCATTCACTGACACCTTCATTCACTGACACCTTGTTCATTCATTGTTCATTCACCGACACACCTTGTTCATTCGCCGACACCTTGTTCACACACCTGGATTTTTTGTATTTTTTATTTTTTTTTGCATACAAAATGGTACCAATTGCACTGGTTGTTTGTAACATGGGAACCTTCTTATCATCTACCATAGCCCTCCCCCCCCATCTTTCCCCATTCCACCCCCCCCCAATAAGTATTGACCCATCTGATCTGTCTACCCCCCCGTTTATAATACCTGATGTACAGGAAAACAGGACTTCAGTGAGGAACATTTCCCTCACTCAGGACCGGAAAGTGGCTTCTCCCCCCTGTGTGAGATCTGTGATGTATGTAAACACTGGACTTCTGTGAAAAACATTTCCCGCACTCAGGACAAGAATACGGCTTCTCCCCAGTGTGAGATCTCTGATGTCTGTTAATATGGGATTTAACTGAAAAACATTTCCCACACATAGGACAGGAATACGGCTTCTCTCCCGTGTGAGATCTCTGATGTGTGTAAAGACTGGACTTCACTGAAAAACATTTCCCACACTCAGGACAGAATATGGCTTCTCCCCAGTGTGAGATCTCTGTGTGTGTAAAATAGGACTTAACTGAAAAACATTTCCCACACTCAGGACAGGAATACGGCTTCTCTCCCCGTGTGAGATCTCTGATGTGTGTAAAGACTGGACTTCACTGAAAAACATTTCCCACACTCAGGACAGGAATACGGCTTCTCTCCTGTGTGAGATCTCTGATGTATGTAAAGACTGGACTTCAATGAAAAACATTTCCCACACTCAGGACAGAATACGGCTTCTCCCCTGTGTGAGATCTCTGATGATAATCAAGTTTGGACTTCAGTGAAAAAACATTTCCCACACTCAGAACAGAATACAGCTTCTCCCCGTGTGAGATCTCTGATGACTGTGTAAAATGGGACTTAACTGAAAAAACATTTCCCACACTCAGGACAGGAATATGGCTTCTCTCCCCGTGTGAGATCTCTGATGTGTGAAAGATTGGACTTCAATGAAAAAAACATTTCCCACACTCAGGACAGGAATACGGCTTCTCCCCTGTGTGAGATCTTGATGTGTGTAAAGATTGGACTTCACTGAAAAAACATTTCCCACACTCAGGACAGGAATACGGCTTCTCCCCTGTGTGAGATCTCTGATGTGTGTGAAGACTGACTTCTCTGAAAAACATTTCCCGCACTCAGGACAGGAATACGGCTTCTCCCCTGTGTGAGTTCTTTGATGTGTGTAAAGATTGGACTTCTCTGAAAAACATTTTCCCACACTCAGGACAGGAATGTGGCTTCTCCCCTGTGTGAGATGTATGATGATTTTTATGCCCATTCAGACCAGATTTAGACTGGAAACCTTTCCCGCACTCAGTACAGGAGAAGCTCTTCCCTGTTGGAAGGCCTGGCCCCGGTCCCGCACAGTCTGAGGTTCCTCAGGATACGAGGAATCCGATGGTCCATCTACACTGGGTGTGCCGGATGGACATTGGAGGGAGCCGGGTTTTCTCCTGGACTATACTGTGTGATGTCCTCATCTTCTACTTTCCAGTCTGGAGACAAAGTGAGACAATCCTCGGAGGTTTTCCTCATCTCCCCCGGCCATGGACTAAAATACAAAGACAAAGAGGATTACTAGACAGGAGCTGATTGGTTCCCCCAAACCAGGACTCCGCCCACATCAGGCAGCTTGGTCTCTGAGGAGCTTTACAATTCCACCCTCAAGGGAACTAGGAAATGGCTCCTCTGATCTCCTACCAGGTCATTTCTTTATTCATGGACCTTAGTCAGAGAGTGAGGAAACAACCAGAACTGTCTTTTATAGGAGGGACAGTGATGAGGGGATTATAGGACGAGGGTCCCCACCCCCTCTATCACTCATCGCCATCTTCCCAACACAAGAAGTACTGCACTTCCTTATTTAGTCCATGATTTAGTCATGAAGAACAGCGGGGGGCTGAGCCCCACCAGAGAGGTCAGAGAGTGAGGATGGGGGGAGAACAACCAAGATGAAGACTGGACTGATCCTGAAGACCACCATCATTGGGGTATTGACTCCTCCCTCATTATCACTTTCTGTTTAAGGGTCCAAAGTTGGAGGATGTTATCACATTATTATCACCATGTAAAAGTCTGTGCTCCAATCACATCATCCGATATAAAATGTCCAGCTGGGAGGAAATGGGTGTAACAAAAGAGAATCCATATTATGTGTATATATAGCAGTGGGGGGGGGGGGGGGAGAGCAGAAGTCAGGAGGATGTAATGTACAACATAGAGTATATAGTGCAGGGGTCAGGAGTATGTAATGTACAACATAGAGTATATAGTGCAGGGGTCAGGAGTATGTAATGTACAACAGAGTATAGTGCAGGGGTCAGGAGTATGTAATGTACAACATAGAGTATATAGTGCAGGGGTCAGGAGTATGTAATGTACAACATAGAGTATATAGTGCAGGGGTCAGGAGTATGTAAACATGTACAACATAGAGTATATAGTGCAGGGTGCAGGGGTCAGGAGTATGTAATGTACAACATAGAGTAGGGGTCAGGAGTATGTAATGTACAACATAGTATATATAGTGCAGGGGGAGTATGTAATGTACAACATAGAGTATATAGTGCAGGGGTCAGGAGTATGTAATGTACAACATAGAGTATATAGTGCAGGGGTCAGGAGTATGTAATGTACAACATAGAGTATATAGTGCAGGGGTCAGGAGTATGTAATGTACAACATAGAGTATATAGTGCAGGGGTCAGGAGTATGTAATGTACAACATAGAGTATATAGTGCAGGGGTCAGGAGTATGTAATGTACAATGTATATAGTGCATCAGGAGTATGTAATGTATAGTATATAGTGGGGGGTCAGGAGTATGTAATGTACAACATAGAGTATATAGTGCAGGGGTCAGGAGTATGTAATGTACAACATGAGTATATAGTGCAGGAGTATGTAATGTACACACATAGAGTATATAGTGCAGGGGTCAGGAGTATGTAATGTACAACATAGAGTATATAGTGCAGGGGTCAGGAGTATGTAATGTACAACATAGAGTATATAGTGCAGGGGTCAGGAGTATGTAATGTACAACATAGAGTATATAGTGCAGGGGTCAGGAGTATGTAATGTACAACATAGAGTATATAGTGCAGGGGTCAGGAGTATGTAATGTACAATATATATACAGTGTAAGGGTCAGGACTCATATATTGTATATCAGTAATCAGTGGAAGATTAAATGTTTACTGTAGACAAGTTGCAGAGATCCCACACCGCTGCCTCCCATCTCCTGAGACTGCACTCAGTGACTTGGGTCTGAGACACTACAGACATATCCCTCCACCCGGCACAGCCAGCAGACACAGAGCAAGGAACCCTGGGAGAAATGTTCTGTCAGAGATCTTGCTGGACTCATAGACATCTATGGTGAAAATGAACATTTTGCTGCCAGCTGAACCCCAGAACCTCCATAAATCCAGTCTAGATACATAAATTGTGTCTGCAGCACAGAGAAGGAAGATTATCCGAGAGAAATCCAGGAATACAGGACGGGGAACACAGCTCAGGAAAGTGACCAGGGGATTACAGGCTGATATCACCCAGTCCCCGCCCTACTCTGGACCAATCAGTGAGCAGTATGGGTGGAGGAATGGATTTAGTGTTCATGACCCACCTGTGCTGATCTCTGTAGGAGTGTCCTCCTCTATAATGTCCCCGTTATTCCATCCTCCTCCATAGACTGCTGATCATCCCTCACATACGCCTCTTCTTCTTCTGCTTTCACCTCAAATTCTATATCGATTGGATCTCCACTCTAAATCAAGGAAATGAGAGAAAATATCATCTGTAAAATATAAGGTCACATAAAAAAAAACCACACATTGTCTCTCTCTGAGTCCATGTTCTAGATTCTCCATCCCACCAACCTTGCAATGGTGAGGGATGGTGTGACCTTCCTGTGTGGAATCCCGGGAATACAGAGGACGGGGACATCTCTCTGGTGGGTTCCTGGTATTAGGTGGCTCCATCATATCCTTGTGTCCTTCTGAAAACTCCTCCATCACTCCATACTCTCCTCATCCTCCTCTTTATACTCTTCTTTAACAATCTCTATTATTTAACCAATCCCCGAGGATTCCACTCTGAAAGATATAATAAAAATGCCATCAATGGTAACAATGCAGATAATGTACAGATCCTAATGATACTATCAGTGATTGTTCCTCATCTACCTGATGATGGTGAGGGATGGTGTGACCTTCCTGTGTGGAATCCCGGGAATACAGAGGACGGGGACATCTCTCTGGTGGGTTCCCATGACTGGATCCATCTGTAGGAAACACACACACTGACTGAATCCATTGTTTCTATGTGTTTATCAGATGATGGGGGATCTAGGTGGATCCTCCGTACTGCTCTCTCCTTTACAATAAAGTCTCCTCTTACCCGGTGATGTGAGGGGCGGCTGATTGTCCATCATGACGTCCTTGTAGAGATCCTTGTGTCCTTCTAAATATTGATGTGTATCATCAACATGTGTGTATCATCTGCTGGAGATAAAAGACATCATAGTGACTATGGAGGAAGAGGACGGACATGACTACGGAGGAAGAGGACGGACATGACTATGGAGGAAGAGGACGAGACATGGACTATGACTATGACAAAGAGGATGGACATGACTATGGACGAAGAGGACGGACATGACGGGGGGCTACTGGGTGTAAATAGAACATAACATCTATTACCGTTTTATGACTGTAGCCTGTGTCTGGTCTGTGTTTGAGAATCATCCCCCCCATTCATGTGATCCTTATCAGTTCCTAATTGGGGTGGAGATGAGTGCTCATTGGGCCATCTCCCTATAAATTTAGATCAGCTTGGGGGAGATCAGCTGATGGGGGGCACAGGCACTGAAGGGGGAAGATCACTGATGGGGGGCACAGGCACTGATGGGGGGGAAGATCACTGATGGGGGGGGGGCACAGGCACTGATGGGGGAAGATCACTGATGGGGGGCACAGGCACTGATGGGGGGGAGATCACTGATGGGGGGCTGCTTTTGAGTGAGTTCTGCGTTGATGGAGTGCTAAGAAGCAGTTGAACTAAAGCAGCTCAAGCAGCAGGAAGATACAACAAGAAACTCTCCTGCATGCTGGACAGACTGCAAGCAAACACCCCGGGAAACATCTCCTACAAGTCTGAGTCCCACTCCGTGTACCTTTCATATGTCCCCTCTACTCCCTCCTTTTCATATTACTTTCCTGTGTTCCAAAAATCTCACCCCTCTGCTCCACCCCAGAACTTGTACATCTCCCCCTCACTGCTACCATCTCCCTACTACTGCTCTCATCACCTCCTGCTGATACTTCACTCTCCTGCTGACCCAAACACCAGGACTGGAAGGCATGTGCGCTCGTGTACATCCCGCTCCCATCTTACTTTCTGCACCCTCCTTCTCCTAACCTCTGGGGATATCTCCCCAAACCCTGGTCCTCCACTATATCACCCCCACACCAGGCACCCCTTCTCCTAACCTCTGGGGATATCTCCCCAAACCCTGGTCCTCCAGTATTTCACCCCCACACCAGGCACCCTCCTCCTCTCTAACCTCTGGGGATATCTCCCCAAACCCTGGTCCTCCAGTATTCACCCCCACACCAGGCATCCTCTTTCATCCAGGAATAGCTGCAATCCCCTCAATTTAATATCAGTCCCCCCGTGCTCACAAAAAACCACCCTCCCTTTTTCATGTGCGCTCTGGAATGCCCGCTCTGTCTGTGTAATAATCTCTGTAATAATCTCTGTCCATGACCTTTTTGTCTCCCGCTCCCTTAACCTACTAGCAATTACAGAAACCTGACTCCAAGCAGCAGATTCTGCTTCCCCCAGCACACTTCCTATGGAGGCCTCCTCTGGACCCACTCACCCAGACCCAGTGGTCAGAAAGGTGGTGGGGTTGGTTTGCTTCTATCCCCACTGAGCACCTTTCAAGTCCCCCCTAACCCTCCCTCTCTATCCTTCTCTTCTTCCCAGACTCACTGCATCCGGCTGTTTTCTCCCATTTCTCTGAGGATTGCAGTGATCTATCGGCCTCCTGGACCCGTGTCCCGCTTTCTTGATGATTTCTCCGCCTGGACACCCTACTTTCTCTCCTCTGAACTACCCGCTATCATTCTCAGAGATTTTACCATTCCTATTAATGTCAACAACCCGGCTACATCCCAACTCTTCAACATAACCTCATCTTTTGCATTAGCACAATGTATACCGTCCTCCACTCACTCTGATGGGAATACATTAGACCTTGTTTTCTCCCATCTTTGCACTCCCTACAACCTCACAAACACCCCCTTTCCTCTCTCTGATCACAATCTCATCACCTTCACAGTCTCCTCATCTTCAAACACCTATCCCTCCAAGCAGCAAACAATTACCCGCAGAAACCTTCACAACTTGAACCCGGCTCCTTTCCACTCTGCAACTGACCAACTCTATGACAGAATCTCTCCCCTGTCCTGCCCTGACCTGGCCACTGCTGTCTACAACAGTTCTCTCATCCACATTTAGACTGACTTTGCTCCTCTAACAACACGAAGCATCAGGCCCATCAGACCATTACATCCGTGGCAGACTGACCACACCAGAAATGATTGTTGGAGTGATTGTGGCATAAAACCAAATCTCAGCAAGCATTCACCCGATATAAATCTGCTTTCTTCACATACAATTCCTCCCTCCATGCTGCCAAACAAGACGACTTTGTCACTCTCATCAATACCTTGTCATCCAGTCCTCGTTTTCTCTTCTCTACTTTTAACTCTCTACTTTCTCCACCTCCACCCAGTACCTCACTCACACTCACTGCTCATGAGATTGCAAATCATTTCAAAAACAAGATTGATGCAATTCGTAGGGACATCACCACTGCACAGACATCCATCCCACTTAGCATACCTTATACTAAACCTCCCTCAACACTTTCCTCTTCTGACCTCGCTACTACTGAAGAGGTCACTAAGGTTTTCTCAGAAGCCCGTCTCACACCTGCCCCCCCTGGATCCTGTCCCCTCACAACTACTACGGTCACCCTCTTCTTCCATCCTATGCTCCCTCACTCACATCTTCAATCTCTCCCTCTCTACTGGTGCCTTCCCCTCCCCTCTAAAGCATGCGCACATCACTCCCATACTTAACAAGCCCTCCCTGGACCCCCAACCTGAACAACTTAAGACCCATCTCCCTGCTGCCATTTACCTCTAAACTCCTAGAACGCTTAGTCTACAATCGCCTGAGCTCCCCCACCTCACCGACAACAACCTTCTTCACCCTTTACAGTCTGGCTTTCACTCACTACACTCCACTGAAACTGCCCTACTAAAACTCACTAATGATCTACACTCTGGCTAAAACCAATGGCCACTACTCCATACTCATCCCAACCGATGGCCACTACTCCGCACTCATCCCAACCCGATGGCCACTACTCCGCACTCATCCCAGCCGATGGCCACTACTCCGCACTCATCCCAGCCGATGGCCACTACTCCGCACTCATCCCAGCCGATGGCCACTACTCCGCACTCATCCCAGCCGATGGCCACTACTCCGCACTCATCCCAGCCGATGGCCACTACTCCGCACTCATCCCCAGCCGATGGCCACTACTCCGCACTCATCCCAGCCGATGGCCACTACTCCGCACTCATCCCAACCGATGGCCACTACTCCGCACTCATCCCAACCGATGGCCACTACTCCGCACTCATCCCAACCGATGGCCACTACTCCGCACTCCCCAACCGATGGCCACTACTACTCCGCACTCATCCCAACCGATGCCACTACTCCGTACTCATCCCACCGATGGCCACTACTCCGTACTCATCCCAACCCGATGGCCACTACTCCGTACTCATCCCAACCGATGGCCACTACTCCGTACTCATCCCAACCGATGGCCACTACTCCTCATCCCAACCGATGGCCACTACTCCGTACTCATCCCAACCGATGGCCACTACTCCGTACTACTCATCCCAACCGATGGCCACTACTCCGTACATCCCAACCGATGGCCACTACTCCGTACTCATCCCAACCGATGGCCACTACTCCGTACTCATCCCAACCGATGGCCACTACTCCGTGGCTCTCCGTATCATCCCAACCGATGGCCACTACTCCGTACTCATCCCAACCGATGGCCACTACTACTCATCCCAAACGATGGCCACTACTCGTACTCATCCCAACCGATGGCCTACTACTCCGTACTCATCCCAACCGATGGCCACTACTCCGTACTCATCCCAACCGATGGCCACTACTCCGTACTCATCCCAACCGATGGCCACTACTCCGTACTCATCCCAACCATGGCCACTACTCATCCCAACTGGCCACTACTCCCTCATCCCATGGCCAATGGCCACTACTACTCTTACTACTTGACCCCCTCCTCCTCAAAAAACTACATTCTCTTGGCTTCCGAGACTCTGCTCTCTCCTGGTTCTCCTCCTACCTATCGCAGAGCTCCTTCAGTGTTACCGATAACTCTGCCTCCTCCTCTTCACTCCCTCTCTCTGTAGGGGTCCCTCAAGGCTCTGTCCTTGGACCCCTTCTCTTCTCATCTACACCTCCTCCCTTGGTCACTTGATAAACTCCCACAGCTTTAAGTACCATCTCTATGCTGATGACACACAAATCTATCTTTCTACCCCTTACCTCGCCCCTTCAGTCTCCTCCTCACCTCACCCCTTCAGTCTCCTCACCTCACCCCCCCCTTCAGTCTCCTCTCGCATTACTAACCTACTAAGTGACATATCGGCATGGATGTCACTCCACTTCCTCAAACTCAATCTTTCCAAAACTGAGCTCTTAGTATTCCCCCAGCCCGTGCCCCCTCCCCTGACTTCTCCATCAAGATCAATAATACAATCATCAGTCCCTCCCCTCATGCCAGGGTACTAGGTGTAATCCTAGACTCCCATCTGTCCTTTCACCCCCAAATCCAATCACTGTCCAAATCTTGCAGACTTTACCTCCACAACATCTCCAAGATACGCCCGTTCCTAACCTCGGAAACCACTAAGCAACTTATTCACTCCCTTGTTATATCTCGCCTTGACTATTGTAACTCCCTCCTCATTGGCCGACCTCATCGCAGGCTATCCCTTCTTCAGTCTATCATGAATGCTGCTGCTGCCAGACTCATCCACCTTACTAACCGTTGTGTATCTGCCACCCCTCTCTGCCAATCCCTCCACTGGCCTCTACTCAGTGTCCTCTACCCCTCTCTGCCAATCCTCCACTGGCCACTCAGTGTCCCTCCCCCCTCTCTGCCAATCCCTCCACTGGCCTCCATTCAGTGTCCTCCCCCCTCTCTGCCAATCCCTCCACTGGCCTCCATTCAGTGTCCTCCCCTCTCTGCCAATCCCTCCACTGGCCTCCATTCAGTGTCCTCCACCCCTCTCTGCCAATCCCTCCACTGGCCTCCCATTCAGTGTCCTCCACCCCTCCATCAGTGTCCTCCAATCTCTGCCAATCCCTCCACTGGCCTCCATTCAGTGTCCTCCACCCCTCTCTGCCAATCCCTCCACTGGCCTCCATTCAGTGTCCTCCACCCCTCTCTGCCAATCCCCCACTGGCCTCCATTCTGTGTCCTCCACCCCTCCATTCAGTGTCCCTCCACCCTCCCAGTGTCCTCCACCCCTCTGCCAATCCCTCCACTGGCTTCCCATTGCCCAACGGATAAAATTCAAAACACTAACAATAACATATAAAGCCATTTATAACTCTGCCCCAAAGTACATCACCGATCTTGTCTCTAAATATCACCCAAACCGTCCTCTCCGCTCCTCGCAAGACCTCCTACTCTCTAGCTCCCTTGTCTCCTCCTCCCATGCTCGTCTCCAGGACTTCTCCAGAGCTTCCCCCATCCTCTGGAACTCTCTACTCCAATTTATCAGACTATCGCCTACTCTGTTCACTTTTAGGTGATCTCTGAAAACCTATCTCTTCAGGGAAGCCTATCCTGCCCTCAGCTAATACTGGAATCTTCTACTCTTCCAACCAGTCCATCCCCCACAGTTACTACCTTTTGTACCACTAGCCCCTCCCTCTTAAATTATAAGCTCCCAGGATCAGGGCCCTCCTATCCCTCTTGTATTGATCTGTATTGTTGCTGTATTGTCTCCCGTTATATTGTAAAGCGCTGAGCAAACTGTTGGCGCCATAAATCCTGTATAATAATAATTACCTCCTCTACTGCCACGTCCAGCAACCTCTCCGATCTCCTTCAGACCAAAGGGAACGTCTTATCTTTATTCCAGATCACTTCCTGTCTGTTCCTGACATCACTTCCTGTCTGTTCCTGACATCACTTCCTGTATTTCCATAGAGAAGTCCTGTCTGGGTAGTAGAAATGAGATCACCATCTTGTGGAGTTCAGAGGAACTGCAGCCCCCGAGAAAATGTCCCCTAATAACCATTCCTGCATTGTATCTACCTTACAGAGATATCAGGGAAGTTCAAAAAGAACTAAAAAATGTAAGAAACAATAAACCTAACTCTTATGCAACAAACTGTTTAAAAAAGATATTTTACTACTACAGATAGAAAAGTCTTAAAGACACAGAACATAAGATAAAAACAAAATGCATAATAAAACAGAGACCTCTAAAATCTGACACACTACCCATAATGTCCCTCCTTCATATCAGAGAGAGACAGACTACCCAGAATGTCCAGAGGTGTGTGACTGACAGAGAAAAAGCTAGACTTCAGATATGTCCCAATCCTTCATATCAACAGAACAAGACAAACATAAACAGAATGTCCCATACTAAAACATAACACAGTGCAAACGAGACCCCAGAACCCCAGATCCAGTACATATCAATGAAGACGTCGTCAGAGAATGTCCTCCTATCATATCAGAGAGAGACAGACAGGGGGAGCAAGCGGAAATGTCCCACATCCATTTCATATCAGAGACCAGCAGACAGAGGGTCAGGCAGAGAGAATGTCCCACCTTCCAGGGATCAGAGAGAATGTCAGCAACGAATCAGACAGGAACAGAATGAGCAGGAACAGATACAGAACACACCAAAGATACATATCAGAGAGAGAGACAGACTACCCAGAAGTGTCCCATCCTTTATATCAGAGAGAGACAGACTACCCAGAATGTCCCATGGCTTCATAGAGAGACAGACAGACTACAGAATGAGACAGATCACCCAGAATGTCCCCCTGGTACTTCATATAAGAGAGAGAGACCATTGACTACCCAGAATGTCCTGACATCCTTCATATCAGAGAGAGACAGACTACCCAGAATGTCCATCCTTCATATCAGAGAGAGACAGACTACCCAGAATGTCCCGTCCTTCATATCAGAGAGAGACAGACTACCCAGAATGTCCCGTCCTTCATATCAGAGAGAGACAGACTACCCAGAATGTCCCATCCTTCATATCAGAGAGAGACAGACTACCCCAGAAAGTCCCATCCTTCATATCAGAGAACGAGACAGACTACCCAGAATGTCCCGTCCTTCATATCAGAATGTCCCGATATCAGAGAGAGACAGACTACCCAGAATGTCCCGTCCTTCATATCAGAGACCAAGACAGACTACCCAGAATGTCCCATCCTTCATATCAGAGAATGAGACAGACAGACTACCCAGAATGTCCCCTCCTTCATATCAGAGACAGAGACAGACTACCCAGAATCCCCATCCTTCATATCAGAGAGAGACAGACTACCCAGAATGTCCCCCGTCCTTCATATCAGAGAGAGAGACAGACTACCCAGAATGTCCCATCCTTCATATCAGAGAGAGAGACAGACTACCCAGAATGTCCCATCCTTCATATCAGAGAGAGACAGACTACCCAGAATGTCCCCTCCTTCATATCAGAGAGAGAGAGACAGACTACCCAGAATGTCCCATCCTTCATATCAGAGAGAGAGAGACAGACTACCCAGAATGTCCCGTCCTTCATATCAGAGAGAGACAGACTACTCAGAATGTCCCATCCTTCATATCAGAGAGAGACAGACTACCCAGAATGTCCCATCCTTCATATCAGAGACATACTACCCAGAATGTCCCGTCCTTCAGAGATCAGAGAGAGACAGACTACCCAGAATGTCCCGTCCTTCATATCAGAGACAGAGAGACAGACTACCCAGAATGTCCCGTCCTTCATATCAGAGAATGAGACAGACTACCCAGAATGTTCCGTCCTTCATATCAGAGACCGAGACAGACTACCCAGAATGTCCTGTCCTTCATATGCATTTTGGTGCTGGGCAGTGAGCACAGGGCCCACAAGGGAATGTCTGGCCTTCAGGCCACCCTCATGAAGTCTGTTTATAATTGTTTGGTCAGACATTCACACCAGTGGCCTGCTGGAGGTCATTCTGTAGGGCTCTGGCAGTGCTCATCCTGTTCCTCCTTGCACAAAGGAGCAGATACAGTGCTGCTGATGGGTTAAGGACCTTCTACGTCCCTGTCCAGCTCTCCTAGAGTAACTGCCTGTCTCCTGGAATCTCCTCCATGCTCTTGAGACTGTGTGGGAGACACAGCAAACCTTCTGGCAATGCCATGTATTGATGTGCCATCCTGGAAGAGTTGGAATGCCTGTACAACCTCTGTAGGATCCAGGTATGGCCTCATGCTACCAGTAGTGACACTGACCCGAGCCAAATGCCAAACTAGTGAAAAACAGAAAAGAGGAGTAGGGAAAAAATGTCAGTGACCTCCACCTGTAAAACCATTCCTGTTTTGTGGGTCGTCTCCTTGTTGCCCATCTAGTGCACCTGTTGTTAATGTCATTACCACCAAAGCAGCTGAAAGTGATGAACAACCCCCTCTGCTACTTACCTGATCAGATCCATATCCCATGAGTTTCATTGACTTCATGCCAGACTCGGATTACAGTCTTCCTTTCATATTTTTGAGCCAAGTATTTACCTTCCTGCTGTCACATGGTCACGTTGTCTGTATCCTATCTTTCTCAGTGGGAGGAAGCTATACCAAGTTAAATATGATTCCATCAGGTCAGCAGATTTGCTAAGCACAGGTATGGAGTACTCATATGGAAAAAAGGTTACAGTTTTTATGTTCAGTTTTGTTGTTTTTAATAATGATTAATTTGTGTTTTTTCCTGTTCACTTCACTGCCTGAAGCTAGGAGCCATATCCCTTTCTACAGCTCATCATATGCAGATACGCTCCCCTGCTAAACAATTACAAATGCTGAGGCACTTGAAGTGGTTGTGAACGGGTCCGGCACTCCGGCAGGAGACACACTTACAAGCAGCAGACTTTCATAGAATGGAAAGGTTGTGGGTGGGTCAGGCGCTAGGTTGGGCAGTAGTAGGACGGAAGGCAAGGGTGCTCATTGTAATCCACAAAAACCTGGCATTAGAATTCATCTCTGAGTGCAACGATGATATGGGACGTATGGCTACCGTGGTCTTGCAGATCTCCAATAAGGATCTCCAACTCACCAATGTCTATGCCCCCAACTCCCTGGCAGACCCTTCTGTAATGCTGCAGCTAATTGGATATTTCATAATCCCAGTATACATCAGATAGATGGAGGAGACTAACACAGTAGTAAATGATAGAGAGGACAGGTCAACACAAGGTCCACCCATGCAAAGGTGTCTACTGGCTCTTCTCATTAGCACAGTTGATTTCTGCCAGAGGATTATTAGACCCCTGGTGATTGGCGGACCCCACACACAGGGAGTTTACTTCATATTCTCACAATACATTTGCCAGGCTAGACTATCTTTATTGCAGCACTTCCCTTTTCCCTCATGTCCATCATACGGCCATACACGACTTGATTATATCAGACCATAGCCCCCACCTCTGTTTCTTTGGCAGACCCTCGAACCACAGGCCCCCCAAATATTTGGAGATTTCCTTCCTATCTGACATGTAAGGTGGACTTCATACACGCTGGTAGCGATGCTTGGCTAGAGTACACCACCACTAATGAATCCCATCAATGTGACCCACACTGTTCTGGGAAGCTGCCAAGCCTTTTATTAGGGGAAGGATGTTTCCTCATATAAAACATTGACAAAGCAGAATACCTCTGAGCACAGAAAGCATTGGCATGAAGCCAAACACCTCTTTGATCTTTGGGTAGAGAATTACAAACATATAAATTGTTCCTATGCTGATTCACAATTGTGTAAATATGGTGATAAGGTGGGTAAGCAAAGGGTCTTTCCAACCAACTCATGTAGCCTCCCTAAAGGATACTTCTGCTACCCTTGTCTCCTCCCCAGAAGAAACCAATAAAATACTGGAAGATATTTGTGCCACTCTATATCTAGATCCAAGACCTTGAGGTGACCACAAAATTCCTAGACTCACTTCATTTACTCACTATTGGCCCCTCCCACCTGCAATCTGTAAATGCCCCTATTTTAATAAAGGAAGAGTCTGAGGTGATTAAAGGCTTACCTAGTG